ATGTCATTGGCTTTGCCCATGTTTAGTCTTAACCAGCAGTTTTGGACACATTCGTTTTTAATGGTGTATTCTAGAGCAGTGGTTCCCAAAGTGGGGGTCGGGATCCCCTGGGGGATCGCGAGACACTTAGAGGTGGGTGTTGTGTGTTGTTCCAATCTCTGCTGTAAAAACAGGCTTTTTAGAATGGGTGTGTATGTGACTTCCTGTGCTTCTGCAGCCAGCCTCTAGTGGTCACTTGAGGAACTGCAGGATTTTTGCACTTCAGCATCTGCTTCTTTTTTCAACACCAGAGACCAATTGAGTACGCTCTGGTTAAATAACTGAAGAGAACACAATCATCAGTGTTTTTTGGTTTCTAAATTCACATTCAGGGAAAATAATCGGAAAATACGGACGACAATGTAAAGTGAAAGCTTGTCGCTGGCGGAGTCGACAGTAAAGGAGGACAGATGTCTTTGCTGAAGCTTCTGTAGACCTGATAAGCAGACCCAACCCATAATGCTTTATGATGGCCTTTCCCCCCGAGCACAAAAAGAAGGAGATAATCCTAATTAAGTGTGGCGGATTCTACCATTATTGCTTTCTCATAAATGGAATCAACTCTGGATGCGACAGACATTTTTCGACCAGAGTGGTTGAATTTATCTTCATTTTTGCCCACCATACTCTGGCTGTGTGCGTCGAGTTCTCTGGCTTCACGGTTACATCAGTCATGTGGAAATATCTCACATGTTTCATGCATCAATTCTGTGCATTTACTCCTGGAATGTTCCACCTCCATGTTCAAACTTTTCCACCTCTTCTTAAATGAGAAATAGTTTGGCTTGAGCAGGAGTCGTCCTCTTCAAAGCAGGTTGTAAAAAACAACCCTGTAGCTTTATCTTCAGGGTCAAAAAGGTTAATAACTAATTAATTTAAGAGCTGTGGATTATAAAACTCCATGTGCATGCTTGTCTATTGAACACTATAAGTAGTAAAAACTAACAACTAGACAGCTGTAATTTACAACATAGACAGAATCATGTTTCAGGCTTATTCCTGTACCCGCGCCAGCAGACTAAGTTTTGACCTTGCCCATATCGTGCACCCTGAAGGTGTACTATGCTGCTGTTTACACCTGAAACACTCACAGGAATGTCATTTTTTGTTGCAGGATATCGGTGCATGGCGTTAAAGGCAGCGTGTGGAGCTCAGGGATGGAGAAAGATTTCCTGATCGTGGTTTGTTTTTAGCTAACATGCACCACAGAAAAAGTCGGCTAGATGCCTTTGGTGTTAAATATGAAACAGCAAATTTGCAAGATGTACATGTAGACTACCCTGCACCTTTCTTCTGTTCTTATATCTTTCCTATGATCAAATTCCAAGACAGGATAAAAGCATTGCTGTACCTATGTGATGAAAACTTAGTTCATCATGTTTCTTAGAGTCCCTAAACGCCTCCTAGATGCATCCTACATGGCGTTCATTGTGTTTTCTCCACTCAGGGTGGAATCCTAATCCTAATTAAACATTTAAACTAAACTGAAAGTGCATCTTCCATTAGCTCCTTTTTAAAACCATTCGAATGGCAACCTAGAGGGCCCTTGAAATGTTCTACTCTGGAGTTCACTCAATGAAGTTTTATCTTTTAAAGGGGCGTGCACCATGACTTTTTTGCATGTGCACAGCGAATATTGCAATGTAAATTTAAAATGTGCACAGATTGAAACAGGCTCATCGGTCATGAAGACTTAATCATCTTCATCAACACAGACAAGGCCACGGCTCGCTTCTCAGCCTTTACATGCTTTGACCTCTGGCAGGCAGGAAATGAAGAAGTCCCTCTAATTGTGTGTGTGTGTGTGTGTGTGTGTGTGTGTGTCTGGAGGGGTTTTGTGGCCTGTTTTGTGTGACACACTTGGGGGGGATGGGGTTGTAAAGGTTTAACAGAAAAGTCAAACTTCTGTAACCGTGTACTCTATTTGTGTCTTTTGTGTGTGAAGTGTGAGTTCAGACCGAGGGCAGGCACACACACACACACACACACACACACACACACTCACACACACACTCACACACTCACACACACATACACACACATGCACACATACAGGAGTGAAACAGTAGTGATATTTCCACTGCTGGTTTTAAGATAAACACAGGAACATGTCGACAGAATCTCTTCTACTTCGTCGTATAAAATGTCTGAAGTCCTTTTGTCTGTCACAACCCAAGGCCGCACCATAAAGCCCCCGAGGTCAATAATTGACAGAGATCATTATGGAAAGTTTAAATGTCCTCTCTCTCTCACAGGCACGGGTTAATGTGTAAGAGCTGGGAAGAGAATCTGTGGTGACTTTTAACTGGTTCAACTCGCCTCCCCGACTGCTCGAACCTTGAAACTCAAAAAGTGAAGCGAAGAAAAATGGAAGAAGCAATTTGTGACCGATGAAAGAAAACAGAGAAATCTCAGCAGCGAGAGAATCGTAGATAACAGAGGTCAAAGTGCAAATGTGTAGCTCCCTGTATGTTTTACAGCTTAGATGACAGACCTCTAATGTGTTTATGAACTTAGCTCATCTCGGCTTTGTCGAGCTTTTGCACATTTGATCAAGTTTTACAAAATATCAGGTCACCCAGAATGACTGCTTGAAAGGGAAAACAAATATTTGGAAAAATCTCCAGTAGATTTATTCAACCTGAAGCTGTGAAACAGGCGATAATGACTGCAGCTTAATCCTTTGTTAAGGCCCTGACACACCAAGGAGATTGGCGGCCGTCGGTCCTAGTTGGACGTACTGAGCCAAACTGTCGCTGAATAAATCTACTAATTTAACCCCACCGTGTGCCATAGAGCTCCTTTGTTTATGAGCACAAACAAACTAGCTGTGGTTGATTCTTCTTCAGGTAACGCAGCATGTCCGTCATGTATCAGCCGATAGCACCTTTATTTATTTATTATGTAACCTGCCTTTACAGATCAACCATCAGGAGTCAGAGCGTCTTCTCTCTCCTGTTTCTAACCCCAGATTAATCCTTAAAATCGTCTCAGTACGTTTTCCTTCTCTACACAGAAAACAACACTGCAGCAAAATCCACATCATCTACTCCTCATACTAACCATGACTGTGCTGATTGGTGCTTTTCAGCTTTCTTCAAAGAGTGACCTCTGTCTGTGTTTGTTATTTTCCTGCTTTTTATTCGTCGCTCTGTTTTCAGATCCACTCAGTGAGGTGAATGTTTTTTCTCTGCAGGACTCGGTTACCCAATCCCCCCGAGGGCGGGACATGATGTCACCACGGAGCGAAAGCGGGAAACTGATAGGGCTGCTTACATTTCATGGCTCCTTTACTCAGATTGATACGCATATTTGGAAACAAACCTAGAAGAATACAAGGAAGTGCGTGCTCAGGATGTTTTTTTTTTTTTTTTTTGTGATTATTGAATTTGAAATGAGCCTCAAAGAACGTTTTGAAGAAGTTAGTGTAGATATTTTGATTTCCTCTCCCTGAGCTGCCGTGTCATTAACACCCTGCCTATTAAACTTTCATTGTTTTCCTTCTCTCTGCGCTCCAAACCTGTCGAGCGTACCTGTCTCACCTCTCTGCTGACGCTGTGGGGAAACAGACAGCGTCAGCGTCTTGCGAAACTTCGCGCTAGTTACAAATTAATCCCCATCTCACTCATATTTAGCCGCTGCTTAACCCAGTACAAAGTTTAGCTGTCATTCTGTCCAATAATTCATGTGATGGTTAATATTTGAACCACATAGATAACCCGCTTTGCAGAATTAGACGACGGCTCTTTGAACCGGAGCAATTTAGCGTTTCAGCGACTCGCTAAAGATGTTATGAAACCGTTAAATCTCCTGTGTTTTAAAGTGAAACTGTTCCTCTACGGGGGTTGATTCAGCCGCAGTTAGCATGCGAGCTATTTGATGACCTATATCTTCAAAAAGGTCGTCCTCCTCCTGTTGTTGTTGCTGGGTTTGACCTCTGCTGTTTCCCAATCCTGTCACTGTGTTTTCTCTTTGAGCACACATTTTGAGTTGTGACATCTTGTTGGGAAATTTGTTGGACCCCACCCACCTGTTCTTTACCCGTAGTCATGTTTTCTGTTCTCCAGTTTGTTCTTCTCCACTCTTTAGTTCAGATTGTGATTCTGTTCAACTACACGTAGCATTGATATAAAGACAGATATTCTCATTATAGCGTTGTATAGAGGACTCTGTTGCTCCATCTTACCTCAGGAGACCCTCCGCCCCTCCTCCAGTCTGACAGGGAAAGTCTCCCCCAGTGAGGTGCATGTGTGAACAACAGCATCAGCAGAATTTCAGGAGCAGTCCCCATGAAATTATCTCGATATTTTCAAGAGTGCAGATGTGAAAATGGCTTTAAAAGACAAAAGTCTCAAACTGTTTATAACACCAACGTATGGAGGCAGAAGTAGACGAGTAACTCCTCCGTTCTGTGAGGTTTTCAACGGAGTCTGGTGGCTTTGAAGAGAGTGACGTAACATCTCTTATTGATTAAAAAATACATCTTTGTGTTGAACATAAAGCTCTCTCTCTCTGCAGGGATCATTCCCGTCATGTAGTCATACACAATAACAACCGGAGCCTATCAGGGACAAAAACAACAACTTCTAGTGGACACAGTTTCTTACTCAACACATTGGACATCGACCGCTTCCCTCTGATGAGTCACAGGAAGTGACACTTTCAGAAAACAAGCAGGAAGATGGTCACTCAGTGTCACTAACTTAGCATTTATTCAAATCTGCATCACAGTTCATATCACAGTTGTGAGTAAAATGCATCTTTTTTTGGGAACTTTTAAGATTATTTAATGTCTGCAGGTGGTTACGAGGATGCTCTTTGACTTTTCTTGTAGCTATAATCTAATTTCTAAGGATTAAAAAAGGCGATTTTGTCAGTTTTCTTTAGTTAAGTGTCATGGCTCCTTCACCTTGACTTCATGACATTGACTTGAGTGTTTCCTCTCCGTCTCTCTCTGACAGCTAACTAACCTGGGGTCCTCAGTGAGCGTGCTGCAGACTCTTGCGTCTCATATTAACACCTGCTGAAAGGTAGAGCGAAGGATTCAGGACAAACATGAGGGACAAAGGGAACTCTGTGAGTCCGAATGAAGCCATGATGTCCTTCAAACACAAGGTGAAAGTAACCGCACACACACACGCCCTCAGCGTCTCAGTCGATCTGACCTGCAGTCATTAAAATCACACAAACATTAACAGACTCTGAGGAGGACTGATAAAGGAAAAATGTGCCGTAAATCACAGAGCTGTTAAACTGGATCAAACAGTACTCATTTACAAACAGCCCTGGACTCTTTAACGCTACTACGATGATTAAATATTTTTATTATAAAGCAGCTAAACCAAAGGTGTCATCGCATCAGTTTAAAAACGTCTTGTGACTTTAAAGGTTTGATTTCCTGAGATAAAAAAAAATGCTTTCTGCGTTGCAGGATGTCGTCAGAGCGGAGAGACCTCCAGACTCAGGTGTGTCCTTGTGTGCTAGAGTTTGTCGACCCATTCTGTCACACTTGACACCTTCCCGGGCAGAGTCCACACAGCTGGTGAGGAAGATGTCCCACATGGACCCAGAACTGAAGAAATCAAAGAGAAGAATCAGACAAACCCGTCAAAACAATATCTGACAAAACGGTTTATCTTAAGAGAGGAGCTCATTTCTGGTCCGGCACTGCTCAGCGAATTGTCTGTAAAAAGTCTGAATAAGGGAAAAAAATAACTGTGAAGAACTCAGACAGAAGTTAAGACATATTTAAAGAAGCAAAATATCCTTAAAGTTTCTAAAAAGACTGAAAAACAACACAAACACACAAAATCCAAGACAGAAATTATCCATATGTTCGAATAAGTCTGAATAAGCCCTTAAAAGACTAAAATATCTTCCCTAAATCAGCTCAAACATTTGAAATATTTTTCCAAAAGCTCTTAAACTTTCTTAACGGTTTCTAAAATAACTAAAGAATTTGTTTTCATAAAAATATTAAAATATTTGAAAGAATTCCCTAAAAGACAGGTTTCTAAAAGCCCTTAAAGGACTAAAACCACTTTAAAAGTCCCTAAAACTGCTTAAAATCGTGAGTTCATTATGTGTCTAAAAGCCCTTAAAATATTTAGTCTCTAAAATGACTGAAGAGAAGTCTTTAAAAAGACCAAACTATTTTAAAAAGTCTCTTTTAAGCTCGTCGTTTCTGACCCAGATCATCAACCTTCTAACATTTCAGATTTTAAGCCAGATTTTTTGGGCGCTGTGTAACTGAAGGACTCGTTTATGCTCGGCCTCGGGAGAGACATCAGACGATTTGTTTGCTGTTCACGTTCTTACCTGACTCTATTTTCACTGTCTCTCTCTCTCGATCTGTTTAACCAACAGGATCGTTGTAGAAACATCAGAGTTGTAAGGGACGTCACCGGCTTCTGTTGTGACGACAACAAACCTGTTTTCACAGATGACCGGTCAGCTGCTCAGTGTCAACAGAGTCTGGCTTTAGAGGAGACGATCTGCCTCTGGCCTGCCCTTCACCTGTCCACTCTCACCTGTGGGGGAAAAGGAGGCCTGCTGTGGTTGGGTCAGTCAACAGGTTTGTGAAGGTCCAGTAGTGTCATTCAAATTATTAATTTTGCGTTTTTTTTCCTTCTGATGTTGAACAAAAATATATTTAAAAAGTAAAAAGAGTAAAAATATGTCAGGAAAAGAACTAAAACATGTGTTTAAAATGCTCTAAGAAGCCTTAAACGTCTCTAAAAGAACTCAACTATCAGTATAATGTCCCTGGTTCTCAGGGGAACTCCCTATAGTGGATCAGAAAGTCCCCAGAACTGTCCGATCCCACAACACTGAATGTTAAGGCCCTAACACACCAAGGAGATCGTCGGATATCCGTTCTAGTTGGACCGTCGGTGAGCGGTCGTTGCCCTAGTTTTTGCGGTGTGTCCGGCTCCATCACTACCCGTCTGCCTTTTTTTTGGCCGATTCGACATGTGGAATATGAGTCGGTGAGAGGAATCTCTCTGATTGGCTGTTCAGAGGTTTCATTTCTCTCCAGCTCTCGACACAGGTTCATGAAAGCCCCTTGAGCATGGCGCTGTAGTATCCATGCTTTCACCATTAGTGCGGTTTCTCCTTATTTGTCGCCTCCGCCTCTTCTTTTCTTTTTCCACTAAAATACCAGCATTTCCAGCATGGAGACCGCTATCGATGGGACTCCAGCGCCCCCTGCAGGAACAGAACGGTGACGTTGCTCAGGCTTCAAAACATTCATATTTACAGTCGATGGACTGGACGAGCAAATATATCCGAGTATAATTTACATGACGTTTTTATCACAGCAGCACAGGCAGCTTCCAGTAGCAGCTCACGCTTCCTAATGTAGCTTTGAAGTAACATCCGGTGTTACCACGGCAACGATACACATGTTGTGTCTGTCATGGCGGCTGCCTCTACAAGACACATCCTGTTACAGCTATAAAATTACAGATTTCTCTGGCTTTGATAACTGTTGGAAATATTTGCGCTAATGTAAGAACTCAACCCAAAAAATATATAACAGGTTTTTAAACTTCGACATATTACACCTTTAAATATCTGTCAGAAATCTGATAAAGGTTAAAAGGTCATTCAAAGGTCAAAACGACACACACAAAAACCTAAGAGCCTTAAAGAAAAAAATCTGTTAAGGGGAAATAAAAATCTGTCAAAGTCTCTAACAGTTATGATATTGTAAAAGTCCCTTAAAGGACATTCCCGTCTCGTAGAAACTCCCATTTCTCAGCCTCCATGTTTTCATAGATTACATGAGGAGACTTTTAGGTAACTCTCCTTTTGTTCTCCTCTCGGCCGTCTGCTTTGGGTTACGTTCAAACAGCACAAAGCGCCTCTGAGGAGATAAAAACCTGACGCTTTGCTGACGTGCGATGGAGAAATATTATGAGTTTGGTTTTTAAAAAAAGTTCACCACAAACATTCAGTCGGGGCAGATTAAGCCGAGCATGCTGGGAAACTGTTCTCCTCCCTCCTGGAGCAGAGCGAGCTCGACTCGAGGAGGTTTGGTTAATCATTTCTTATTTTTACATATTTTCTTCGGCCTATAAGGAAGGAACGAGAAGCTTCACACGACTAAAGGGTTAAAATAAAGAGAGACCAGGAAAGGATTCAAAAACAGATTTCAAGGATGTCCACTTCACATTTATGGTTTCCCATCTTTACAAATCTATCCCCATTATCTCTTCCCTCCTGGCTGCACGCCTTGGATTGGTGGGAGACAGAATAAAATCATTTCAGGGAGGAAGAAAAAACATTTTTAAGAAGACTGAAATATCTTTGAAAGTTACTTAAAGGTTAAATTCTGTAAAAAGTTCCTCAAAAGACTTTTCTCTCGTGTATCAGGGTCAGTCACAGAGCGGGTTGCAGCAGTTGATGTATCAGAATATTTAGTGTATTTTTAATTAAGTGCGTCTGCAGGTGGAATGATTTTAAGAGTCTCAGAGACTCAAAACACGATTTAATCTTCAAACAAACAGTTTAAAGGAATGTCCTTCAGAGGGGACACGCTTCACTTTGAGACTCTTGGGACATTTCTGTGTGTAGACTTTCTACTTCTGAGTAAAACAGAGTGTGATGCAAAGTTCTCCTCTGACTCTGCAGGTGCAGCGTGGACTTTGCTCATCTATGAACCGCCCGTCCTGCCTGCAGAGGAGTCACCTTGTCCCTGCAGAGCGTTGCATCTCTTCCGGTCTCTCTACAAACCCCCCTCCCCCTCCCCCTCCTCCTCCTCCTTCCCACCCCTCCTCCTCCTCCTCTTACTACTACTACTTCCTCTTTGCATCCACGTGACCACATCCTCCCCACTACACCTGCACCCGTCCTGTCCTGTCTCTGCTCCTTCCACGTGGGACCGAAGCTACACTGACCTCTGGAGGTTCTCACATCACTCATGTTCTCAACGTTGCAGTTTTTCTCTGCATTAAACTCCGCCCCCTTCTCGATCACCTGAGTGGTAAACCAGGAAACGAGGACTGCGGCAAGCTGAGTGTCCTCTGAGTGCTCACCTTCAACTTTAGACTGTGCATACATTCTTTGCACGCTCTCTTTGCAAGATAGCATCGCACGGGGCTGTTCAGTTAGAATACTGGGACATATTTACATCTCAAAGGGACGAAAGTGCAGAGCAGATGTTTGTGAAAGGGCAGAGGAAGAACAGATGTGTCTTATAATAGAGGCTGCACTGTCATTGTGATCTCTGGAATAAAGATCCTGCAGCCCACACACACACACTCACTCATCTTTACCAGCATGAGCAGTGTTATCAGTAGCAACAGAACATTTCATGCACAACATGGAACATACACACATGCACACACGGGGAAAACGAGAGCCGGGTAGGGTGTCATATTGCAGGAGGAAGCTGTGTCCTCCAGATGTCACCGATGACGGAAAAGTACAGTCACGCCCGGCGGAGTCTCACATCCTTCAGATGGAGAGAGAGAGGGAGGAGGGGATTAAATGATTATCCCGTCCCCACTTTCTATCCTTCTTTACGTTCTCGCTGTTCTCTGACGGGGAGAACTGCTGACTGCGACATTCCTCCGTCGCCTGCTGCTGCACAGGAGCAGAATGAGTTCACAGCACTTTATTATTATCCCACATTCAGACGTGATGTGTCATCATGAGCTCACTCCGCTCTGGTACCGTACCAGGTTACATTTTTATCAACCTTCTGGACAAAATGTATCAAGAATTTTCATCAGTTCCTACTCGTATGTCGTCTTTTATTCAATGATTCTGACAAAACTAGACATGCATCTCTTTATAACTAACATGTCTGACTCCATGTTTTTTATATAAAAAGTCCTGTCCTCTGCCTCACATTTATAAAAAGCCTCTTTGAGACTCAAGTATCTGCAAGGGCTAAGATATCTGTGCAGAGCTAGAGAACGTGAAGAACTAAAGTAAAGACTAAAACATCTTTAAAACGTCCCTAAAGAGACTCAGATATCTCAGTAATGTCACTAAAAATACAAGATGACACAATGGGATACAATAAATAGAGCGGCTGGCTCAACCCCAAGTTGCTCTCGCTGTGTCTGCGGTGTGTGAATGTGTAAGAATGGATAAGTTACTTCTGATAGCCTCTACCATCAGTGTGTGATTCTGTAGGTGTGAGAGCTTTGAGTAGTCAGAAGACGACATGAGTGCTATACAAGCTCAAGTCCATTTACCATACGATAAGTAACGGTACTTTTTTGTCCCAGGAGGTAAACTTGTCCCAGACTCCCTTGGTACCCACACTGAGCTGCAGTGTGAATGAGGGATGTCTCTTAAAGTTTTGACCCCTACAGAATTACGAGCTCCTGAGGCTTTATTCTGACGGGCCATAATTTGACATCTTGACCCCTAAACAAATATTTTAGAGCAGACAGGACACAGAGAGGAGGACTAGGGGTCTGACAGACATAGAGAGGAGGACCAGGGGTCTGACAGACACAGAGAGGAGGACCAGGGGTCTGACAGACACAGAGAGGAGGACCAGGGGTCTGACAGACACAGAGAGGAGGACCAGGGGTCTGACAGACACAGAGAGGAGGACCAGGGGTCTGACAGACACAGAGAGGAGGACCAGGGGTCTGACAGACACAGAGAGGAGGACCAGGGGTCTGACAGACATAGAGAGGAGGACTGGTCTTATCTGGTGCTGCCTTCACTTTGCATTATGACCACAGTTTAATTATTTATTGTAATTATCAGCCAGGGGAAGACGAGGCCGCTTTCAGGTTTGATTCATTACCGAGATCGCTGCGCTGTGAATGTGACCTTCCTTCAGGCATGATGGATGCAATATGTGTGCATGTTTGTGTGAGAGAGAGAAAGCGAGAGAGTGGGAGACTGTTTTTAGCAGTCAAACCCAGACGCAGCGTGTGCACCATCTAGTGGTTATCAAAGTGCACTGCATCCTTCCTGTAAGGTCATTTATTATAAAAACAGGGAATAAATGTTATTTTAAATAAGTCTGGGTGTATATTAACACAGATTCATACGGCGACTGGGTTACCGTTCAAAGACAAGTTAAAGTTGGTTGGTTCCGCTTCACTTCTGTGTAATCTGTAGGAAATATAAACCGCTGTTAATCAGATAATTCTGATGTTCCTTTTTTGCATTCTCATTGGTTCCAGAGGCAGAGCACAGGTGCTGACAGGAAGTGGCCAGAGATGCTGACAGGAAGTGACCAGAGGACGGCAGCTGTTCTTGAGAGTTCTTATCAGCATCAAAGCCATCCTAGATATCCTCCTCCTCTCATCATCATCATCATCAATAAGTCTGTAGGTGTTCATGAAACTGAGCTGGCTCTTTAGCTTTTTGCTCGCTTACAGAACGGACAAACTCCCTCACCCAGGTCAACACTCGCTCCTGATCTCTCCATCAATGCATGACCTCACGTCCTGTTTGTGCATGTGCGTGTATTTCAGGCCTTTGTGTGTGAGATTGGCTTATCCTCAATTAACCCAAAGGCAGAGCAGCTAAGTAAAATATATTCATTTTAAATATAAAGTGTAAAACAAGAAACACGTAAAAGAAAACACACATCAGTCTGTTGCTTTTTTTTTTTTATGAAACTGCAAAACAAGTTTTAATAGAAAAAGATGCAAACATGGGAACAGGTATAAAAACAGTCGTCAGAAGCAGCAGCATGCTCGCTGTGTTTGGCACACGGGCCCGACTCGCACGCAGATGTTTACAAAGAGAGAGAGAGAGAGAGAGAGAGCACGTCTGCTGCACGCGCTTCTTTTATTACAATCATCCTAAAAATACCCCGACGTTATCGAATAAGAGCGGAGCGCCGAGGAACGACAATCATCTGCTCTAAAAAACATAAATAACAAATGATGTAAAAACAGACTCATGACATGTTCCCTTTGGTAGATCGAGGCTGAAGAGGTTCTTTTAATGCGAGTGAAGTTTTTCCTCTTTTATGAAGGACGGAGAACACACACACCTCTACAACAACAGCACACACACACACACACACTATATATACTGTAAACTAGTGTTGTAGTACTCGGAATCAGTCTTTTTGAAGGTCTCGTCTCAGAATCAAAAGCATCCCCCGGTTAAGAACGCAACCCATTCATTGATTATGGTCTTGGTCTTGGCTCGGTCTCGGAGCACTCTGGTCTCGAGTATGTCTTGGTCTCAGTTGGTGTGGTCTTGACTACAACACTAATATACACACACGCAGCCTGTCAGCTTTTTATATTGCCAGCCAGCCAGCAGCCCAAAGAATAAAGAGTCTCATATATGACCTTTTCTTCCGTCTAAATCCAGAATACTGCATCCTCTAAGGCAAAGGATTAGGGACAAATCTAAAAACGGAAGGATTGTGTTTTTAAAAGGGAAGTAGCTGCACTAAACCTGTTCTCCTTAAAACGGCCACCAGAGGGAGACATTTCCTTTTGCAAAGACGTTATGTCCCTGCTTGTCAGTCAATTTTATTCCCTCAGTAAACATTTTCCTAACAAGTTTTTGGTCCCAATCCGTAGTTTCAAGTCTTCTTTGAAAATATACATTATTGGGTGTCTTGGACGTTTGTTGTTGTCAAAGTATCAAAACAGGTTTTAAATATTGTTTGATTTTTACGATAACCGTATTAAAGTTTAAAAATCTGGAATGGTGACGACCCTGATCAGGCGTATGGATGATTTCTGGATGGATGCGGTAGTGACTCTGGGCTTGGCAGCACGTTAACCACATCAGAGATAAATCCCTGACTCTGTGTTTACGACCCGTGGTAGAGCTGGATGCTGCTGGTCACCGCCTGCTTGTACCTCTGCTCCGCCTGCAGGCTGCTGTTGTGGTCGAGTCGGCTGCTGTTTAGCTCCTCCGCCGTGTCCCCGAAGCCGTGGTAGTGTCCGTAATGCAGGTCCTCCGATCCCCCCAGGGGCCCCCACCACGCCTGGCGGTGGGACACACAGCTGCTCGGGCTGCCGGTGAGATGGAGGGAGCCACACATGTCTGAAAAAGAGCGCTGAGACGGCGGTGCTGCGTGCTGATTGGCTGGTGGAGGGGTTGCGTGGGAGGGAGTTACTGCTGGATTGGAGGTGTCCTGGTCATAAGGCAGCGTGTGGTGATGGCCGTTTGTGAAGGCTTTGGTGTCCTCCTCTTCTTCTTCTTCTTTTTTAAACAACAAACGTTTCAGAGTGAATTTACAACATTCAAATAAAAACATATTTTATTTTATGAACACTAAGGAATTAAAACAAACGGTCCTGACCTGAGTTCATCTCCTCTGCAGACTCCGTGTTCATGCTCTCCAGCTCGTCTCCTCCTCCGTTCTGCAGCAACATGTCTGCAGCAGGAGACAATAAATCAACTTTGTGTCCGAGAGTAAAGTCAAAATGTGGAGAATAAAGCTGAGAACAGGGTCTAATCATTTTCTTCTGATGTCTTACTGTCAGCTCTCCTCGCTCTCTTCATGTGTCCACTCTCTGCAGCATTCAAAAGTCTCTTCCTGCTCAGCAGCTCCTGACCAAAGTGGGCGCCGTTTCCGTTCTGCTCGCCGTTCAAGTGGACTCCGCCGAGCTGCTGCAGGTGCTTCTGGGTTTTGGAAAGGAGGAGGAAGCCTTCCTGGAAGCCTTGAGCGAGAGCGAGGTCTGCCGCCGTCTGACCGCTGGCGTTCTTTAAACTGAAGAAGAAGAAAAAACAGATTCATGTTTCACATCTCGCTCCTTCATTCAGCCCCGACGTCAAGCTCCCAGGTTAGAAGGCATTTTATTATTTTAACAGTGTTTCAATATTTTCATGATTTATCATTTCAAACTTTTATTACTGAAAGATGCAAACATGATTAAAAAACAGGAACTTTGAAGTGTTCGTCGAGGAAATTTAAGGGTGGATGCAAATCACGGCAGTGTAGAAATTGTGACATATTTGAATTGTCCTGGGAGGTGCATGGAATTCTCTGCAGGGTTGCTATTCTCGTCATAACACCGTAAGGACGTACCTTAGCCCGCTGCCAAACTTACATTGCGCTATAATTTGGCGACTGTGGCGCTCTGTGGACATGAAGGAGAAGCTGTTCTCCCTGATCACAGTTATTGTTCTCCTACATCGTCTTTGAAACAACTGTCTTAAGGTGGAAATGTTACAGACTGTCGCTTTAAGGAAAAGTCTTGTTCCCTGAAATGTTGGCTGGATAATCCTAGCTCTTTGTTTGTACTCGTCTCCTCACTTGCTCCTTGCTCCTCACCTTCTTTACCTCCACTGCAGATAAACAATCATGCAGCTACAGTGACTCCTCTGGGCGTGTCCGTAGACGTTGTTTGTACAGTATCATAAAAACCGTCAGTTGTGGCTCTGCACACAGGTCTAAACACGACAATCATCATCGCTGCCGTCTTTGCATTGAAGTTAATTACTCCAAAAAATACCTCCGTCTGTGGAAACATGAAGCTGAACTTGTAACTGTACGGGCTGCGCCTCCGCAAATGTCAGAATGTACAGACAGTTTTTATCTAGCAGCACGTGGAGAGGAAGCTCCACATGGTCCAAAAGCAACTCTAACATGTGAGTTCAAACTCTAACATACTGTATGTTCACACACAAAAGTGTCAAATTAAAAGTAACAGGTGCTACAAGTTTCTACGCCCTCTTCATTGTCTCACCCCAAGGCTGAAAAGTCAGACACCCTGCTGCTGCCGTCACTGACACTGAATTTGCATTTTTTAAAAGTACTGAGGGGCTAAATGACTTCAAGGAATGAAACGTTTTAATTTGCTTCCTCTTCACCACGACGTTCTGGTACAACGCCTGCGATACCACAGACGCTGCACTAATCTGTCTGTTCAACTCGCGCTCCATTTCAGCCTCGCTCCTGAACAAGACCCTGAGATTTGGACTTCATATTGTTTGTCACAAACATGTTGTTTTTCACCAGAACTAACCAAGTCTCACAACAACACAAAAAACGTATCAATCAAAAAAGTTGACGACAAACAACTTCCATGTTCTGCAAGGTGAAATAACCACTTTGTGACTGGAGTCTGGTGGATTTGAAGAAAACGATGAAGCAGCTGAAGTCCAAATCAAACGCTTTAACAAATGACTTCTAACTCTGGGTGATGTGTAGCTGCTGCTGTGCTTCACACTCACAAAGATCACACTGCTGGATACTCACTGTGGTTTAGCACCTGCTATCAACAGGACCTGGATACACTCCAAGCTGCCGGAACGAGCCGCCTTGTGCACTGGAGCCTCACCGACAAAATCCTAAAACGTAATAAAAAAAAGTTATAACGATAAAAAAAGAGGCGAATTCAAACACAACTCAAATTTTTGTCTGACTGACCGACCTGCCTGTTGACGTCAGCTCCAGCCTGAGTGAGCCACACGACGCACTGAGGGTGTCCTCCAAACGCCGCCGTGTGTGTCGGAGTCTGGTTGAAGCGGCTGGTCACCGTGTTCACCTCACAGCCCATCTGCACCAGGCGCACCACACACTCCAACTGTGTGCACACAATCACGGCAAACAGGTCATTAAAAGGACAAAGGAAAACATCTGAGTGAAGTGAATCAGCACACAATGGAGGGGCTCTTGTTAATAAAAGCTGACAGGAGCCTCCTGCAGAGCACAGATTGACTTTTAGTGTAAGACATTTCATTATTATTAGGATTGTATTTACCATTAGTGTCATTATTATAATGTCGTTATAGCCAAAAATAACAAACGATTTTTTGATTTTAATAGGAAAAACCTTTTGTTTATTTAATTTCTGCTAAATATATGGTTTAAAAATAAAGAAGAAATTACATGTCAACAAATAAATCTTAAATACATTTGTAAAACACTCTAAAATGTTTTTGTTTTTAAATTATTGCTGTTTCAATAACCTATAAAATTAAAGTAAAATAAATCAATGTAATAGTAAACAAAATGTGTTCTTATATTACATATTTACTACATTTTTTAGACGCTCTAAAATGTATTTAATATTTTTTTAATTATTATTTTATTATTATTAATAATTATTTCGCTGTTTCAATAACCTATAAAATTAAAGTAAAATAAATCAATGTAATAGTAAACAAAATGTGTTCTTATATTACACATTTACTACATTTTTTAGACGCTCTAAAATGTATTTAATATTTTTTTTAATTATTTTTTATTATATTATTAATTAATTATTATTTTAATCAACTTAATTAAAAAGATGAAGTAAAATAAAATAATAAACGTATGTAAATAAATATATATTTGATTGTATGTTTGCACTGTTTCCTCTAAACATTTTTTAAATGAATTATAAATAAAGAAGAAAAAAACCTTTTGTTTCAGTGATTGTGTGTTATTTTTGTTTTTTTTATTTTTAAAACATTCATAATTTATTAAAAAAAACTGTTTTTTTTTTTTTTTCCGGAAAATATTTTTTACTTCCTATTTATAAGTAGCCGTTTGGCGCCTAGAAAGCCATTGGCTCCCCGTGAGCCAATGAAAAAGCGTCAACCGGCTACTGTATCTTTTTTTTTTTTTTTTTTTAACTAACACAACTTTATTGTACATTTAAAAACAGATGAAACTGTATCGGAGCAGCTTCACCGCATTAAAAAAAAAAAAAAAAAAGCGTTAGACTTTACAAACACAAAAAAATTACATTAAATCTTCACCCTTTTCGATTTAATTTACTTTCATTTGTCGTTTCCTGTCTGAGGAACTTGAGGAGAACAATTTGCGAAGCTGTGATTTAAGTTACTGTAAATTAAGATCTGTACTGTAGGTTGTGCATTTCAAAGTAAGAGTTTGTAAGTAAGAGACGATCTGTGCAGCTAAATCTCTTAATCTAGTTTGTAGTTTTTACTAATCCTTACCTGTCCATAGTGTGCAGCCCAGTGCAAAGGGGTCCATCCGTAGCTGGAGTCCTCAGCAGTCAGATGAACCTGGTTCGAGAGCTGCTGCGAGAGTGACACCAGAACTCCAACATCTCCATCCCGGCAGGCTCGGTGGACGGGAAACCTGTTCCCAAACACCTCATCATTACAGGTGGAGAAGTCCGGTTCCGGTCCCGCCGACATTAGTGAACTCATGACAGCAGGAGCGTGTTTCTCCCGGTGTCTCCAGGTTGCAGAGAGTCGCCTGAAAAAGGTTTAAACACAAAGGAAGAGGAGATAAGCTGCTCTGCCCGGCTGGAGACACTGAAAACCCGGGCTGGATTCAAGGGTGTTATGTCGAATAGTGCTACCCATCGAGATGTGCGCCTATGCAGCTCTGCGCATGCTCCGCGCAGTAGCCTACAAGAAATATTACTTTATTGTGGCTTCTCGTCTGTCGAAAAGTTATTCATCCAAAATGTTAAATTAAGGGTTTAGTATCGAAATATGCGCCCTGTATACTTACGGTAAAAAAGCAGCGAGTAGTGTTGTTTAAAAGTGGAGTCTCTGGTTGCACATATTAACAAGGTAGCAAATCTCGACATAACACCAGAGGTTGATTAAAACAGCGGGGCATTTTTAGTCGTTTATTTAGAAGATTTTGGCCGAAAAAAACAACTTTTTCTCCTTCTCTCCCATAAAATCTAAGTGATATTTTCTCACAAGTAAGGAAGAATGTGTATCTACTTATATTTTATTATTTAAAATCTGTTAACTTTAGATTTTCACCCCCCTTTATGTTTTTTATGGTAATATGTAAGCATGCTAGCATTGCCTAACATGAAGGCCACGTTGCTTACTTAATTAATTAATGATGTATTTATGTTAATTCCTAGAAATAAAAGAAGCAGAAAGCTACGCAGTTGACACAACTACCACAAGATGGCGTCATCTTTAGGTGGGAAATCACTGGTTCTTGGTCTCCAAGGAGCTCAGGTAAATCTAATGACACAGGTAAACTCAGCTCTGAAGAAACACACCTTGAAGCTGCTGTGAGGATTATTTAACTGGCTATGAAATGGTCAAAAGTGAATACTGATCTATCTGTATGACCATCAAATGTAAGACCATCAACATAATAGATGATGCTGCTTTAAATCTGGGGAGTTGGTGACAGACAAAGTGATGAAGTTCACACTGCCTAAACCACCTTAGACATTTCCCACACTAAAGATACATTTGACAGTTGAATATAAAGCATCAATAGATTTTTGTTGTTGTTAAAAAACACTTCTTACACATGCACAGGACAAAATCAGCAAAAAGATAAGTTAGGGTCACCATACTTTCAAACTGGGACACTGGGATAGGGACTGTTCAAAACCAGGGCATAGTAGTGTTTATAGAAATCTGTTGGGATTCGGGACACAGCTTTAAGACGGGACAGTCCCAGTCAAACCGTAGTGGATGGTCAGTCCTCGCTGCTTCATCCAGAGGGTGCCCCCTGCCTAATGAATTGTAGACTTTCATGTCTGTTCATCTCAAACTCGTTGTTTGTAGATAAGTAGACGGTTGTTAGGGACTCTTAATATTTTGATATCTGTAATATTTTTCCAAACTCAGGACAGTTTTGTGCGAGTGAGGAAAAGCGATTTGGACAAGTTGACCACGGAAGTGATGCAGCTCAGAGAGTTCCTGCCCCGAGTGCTGAACAGAGACCTGATGGAGATGCTGCACAAAGCTCGAGCAGCTCACACAGGTAACGCTTACACTAAGATGACACCTGTGAGGCAGAAAATACAAGGGGGAACCTTGTTAGCTAATATGTGTGTGACTTTAATGAAGGCGTATTTAAACCCAAATCCACAAATTGTGTGCACATACAGTTAAAAACCAGAAGCAGTTTTCACTTCTTTCTCACCAGTAGGGGTCCTCCTGATATCAGTTCTGACTTTTTGTGTGTGTTTAGTGAAGGAGCAGTTTACTCAAGAACAGGAGCAGCTGAGACAGGAGTGTCTTCACCTGCAGTCCCGACTCGATGCAGTGCAGACAGAGTGTCAGAAAGAGAGAGAGGTGCGGAGCAGCGAGCGACATCATGAATTTAGATTAGCTCTAAATTATCCTCACTTAAAGAGAAATTAACCTCTGAGAAGTCTTTGCAATACTCAACGTTGTTGTTAAGTCTGGACACCATCCTTAATTTTGTTATATCTCAAAGTTTGAGTTGTGTTAACCCTTTACATGTGTGTGTGTGTGTGTGTGTTAAGGAGAAGCTATTGTTGCGGGAGCAGCTGTGGCAGAGTGGAGCAGAGCTGCAGCAGCAGGCCGACTTCTGCTCCAGTCTGGGATCTGCATCCTGCAGTCTGCTGTGGAGCTGCTCCTCCAGCGAGCAGACGGTCACACACTGGCTCGCTGACGTGAGTCGTCACTTAGTTAGAAGGAGGACATACTGGCTGCTGCATTGTTGTCAGAGAAGCCAGCACTTCAACATAGCATGTTTCCTTAATGTCTGATCAGATAGTAAGATACCTTTATCATCTCACTCTCTACACATCTCACTGTAAAAAAGTCTTAAATTTGATGGAGTGTGCAGCAACCCCGTATCTCTGAGGTGTTGTTCATGAAGGTGTGTTATCTAAAGTGTGTTTGTGATGGTTCAGGGGAAGCTGCAGTCCTTCCTGCTGGTCGCTGCTCAGACTCTGGAGAGCTTCGTCAGGTCTCTGGACGAGGAGGTGAAAGCTGAGGACCACAACTCCCAGGAGCACCAGTTCGTTCTGGCTGTAGCTGGAACCATCACCAGTAAGTTCACAGCTTCAATTTAGCAGCACACGGATGTGGATGTGGATGTGTCTGACCAGGAATCCTCCCACAACCCTCTTTTTTTCTTCTTTATACCCTGTCACTCAGATATCGCAGCAGTACCTTGTGGGCGGGACTTTCTGTCCAGCTCGGCTCACGTGCTGTTGGACACTCTGATGAAACTTCTGGAGCTGATGAAATCGGGAGTCTTCCCCAAACTCAAAGTGTGCGTTGAACTGTAACCACTGCACCACCATGCAGCGCCAACAATATCCTCCCTTTGTTTTTAAATTTCTAGTCAGACATGTTGGTGATCAGATGTGGGCAGTAGGTGTCAGTGCTGTTCTTCCGCCCACATCTGATCAACGGCATGTCTTGTTTCTGCTCGTGGAGGTAGTTTACAAGATTTTTATTAACTACCTGTTCGTCTACAGGTTGATGCTGATGGCTCTGTATAACGTCAGCATCAGTATTAAAGGACTGAAGTACATCAGTGAGAACCCTGGACTGCTGCCTCTTATCTGGACCCTGCTGGACGGTAAGAAGAATATAGGGAGTGTCATTCAGAATAACTCTGTATTTTAACTCCTAACAAACCTGCAGCAAGACAACAGACTGAGTTTCTCCTCCAGGTCTAACACCTTGTGATCATGATGTTTGAAATGTGATGTGAGCCTCTGATCTGTGTGCGCGACAGATGGAGACTGGGAGGTGTGTCTGCACTCGCTGCGTCTCCTGCAGTCTGTGTTGTTGGAGGAGGAGGTGCTGCTCCTGCTGGGCTCGTCTCTGCTGGATCCTGAACTCCAGGCTCGGGTCAGCGGGCTCACCTCCAGCAAGCAGCCCAGTCTGAGAGTGACTGCCCAGCAGACTCTGGAGGACCTGCAGGCCCTCACACAGGTAACACCTTCAAAGCAGGGGGTTAACTCTTGTGGTTCTCTAAAAGTGTAAGTGAAAACAGTAGACTATGAAGTCCTTTAGAAATTAAATGAAGAGTCATTGTCTATTTTCAGGGTCGGAGATCTAAACAGAGCAGCCTCTGATGTGGATTATGTGTCTTCAGTAGTTCACTTCTGTTCATGACTTCAGTATTTGTGCTGTTTTTTGCACGCCATGTGTTGAACAGGGACATAAAGGAGATTCCCGCGTTTTCATCGACAGTTTAACCTGTACATTTTCTCTTTTTGTTTACTTGCACTGTTCAAAGAATTGTTCTAAAAATTGTTCCTTAATTGCACACTTAATGTTTATATGATATCACCCGTGAATACGAGACATATTAAAGTTCATGTTTTCACACTTTAAGGGCGCTATCTTCGTGTTTTATAAACTGTATACGTTATCAGCGATCCATCACATTCACTCACTAAACTCTTCATTCTGGTTCACACTTAAAAAGGCTTCTATAGAATTTAAACGATGCAGTAATACGTCCCGGCGTTTTCGGACTGCAGGAATTTCTTGATAGTTCTAGAAACTGTTGCAATCCTTTTTTACTGATTCCACTCCGCAGGAACGACGATGAACTCTTTTAGTTCCTAGAATCTCATTAAGAGGAACCTTTTTTCGCTCCTGCTTCAGAGTAGGTACCACGGCGGTGTGAACGCAGACAGAAAAAAATCCCCATGGTGTGAAGTTCTCAGGGCAAACTCTAGTGGATAGACTATCATCTGCATGTGGATAAACAAGAGGTGAATTCATAACGATGATGACTTGAGGAGACCTAGCAGCACAAACCTGCCAGTAAACATGTTCCCTCCCAAAATTATGCAAAGGCCTTTGGATGATTTCATAACAGGTGAGTTCATAATAAAATTTCACCTTGATACAGTTGTCAGAAATGGGGTATTATACATCTGGAAACAAAACATATTATTTGAAGCTGTAGGTTCTTTACCTGTAAAGTTTGGCATTTTAAACATGGAGCTCTATGGGTACTGACTCGCTTTTGGTGCCAGCCCTCAAGTGGCGATTCATGGAACTGCAGTTTTTTTTGGCACGTTCCTGTCTGTTTACATTTTTCAAGCTGAGGAATTTGCTGCTTAAATAGCACAAATTCAAGAACTTTTAAGGGGAGTTAACCCATTTTGTTCACACCTTAACCTCCATGAACTAATAATCTGCATGTCTGTGATTGCTACACAACAAAAGACACTCCATGTGGATGTCAAAGTCTTTGACTGCACTAGAGTTGCATTTGAAACCTGAAGAAGAGTACAAGAATAAATCCACACAAGTTTCCTTTTTGTTAATTGTACAGCTTTATTATCTGTTTCTTTAGTATGGACTTCTCAGTTATGAGCAGGTATCCATTAAACAAGGCCTACGCTACAGAACAGGAGATATTTAAGACGAGAGAGGAGAGCACAAGAATGGAAGCAGCCATGGGGCCTCGGAGGACTTCACTGATGGAAAATCTGGGACAAGACACGAGTG